CTGGAGAGATAGTTCAGCAGGTGAAGCACTTGCCTTGTACACAACCAACCTGGGTTCGGATTCTGGCACCTCATATGGTCCACCTAGCACCACCAGAAGTGAACCCTGAGTACAAAGTCAGGAGTCAGCCCTGAGCACTGCCAGGTGTGGCCCCAAACAGAAAAAGAAAAAGAAAGAAAATGAAATTAAGTAGTGGGGCCGAAAAGAGAATAAGGACAAGGTAGACCAAGAGGATAGGAGGACAGTGGGGGGTTGGGGGGATGTGGGCATGTTAATGTTATGAAGGTCAGTAGCTTTGTAGATCAGAACCAGAAATGTTGGGCAGGTGAGATAATCCAGGAGAAAAGATGCTTGCTTTGCATGATACTGATCCCAGCACCACATATGGTCATCTGAGCACCCCCAGGAATGAGTAACCCTTGAGCACTGAGCCAGGAGTACAGTTAGGTGTGACACAACCTCCCCCACCAGAAGAATAGCTTTTAAAAAAGTAATTACTTAAAAATATTAATTTCATTGATCGTTGGGTCCTATACCTTCTTGAATCATTTATTTATACTAGATTATTTTTATATTATTTAGTCTTTGAGTATAAATTATTTATGAATGGTGGTAATTTGAATTCTACCTTGGTGCTCTTTTTTCTTAAATGACTGCATGGGATTTTTTTTTAATGATACAAGCTGATGCTTTTTATAGCAAGCAGCTTTATATCAAACTGAAGATGATTAGTCCATCTAAAATGGCTAAGTTTGCATCCTAAGAGGATATTGATTTTGTTGAGGCTCTTTTTGAATATAATCATTTGAACATATAATTGTGCTATCAGAAGTAAATTATGTGGACAGATACTACATATTGCTATGATAAGACTCATTTGTCTTGACATACAGAGATAACTTTGACATGAAAGTTCAAAAGGAATAAGAAAGATCTCTTTCCTTCCAACTATTATCTTTGTGATATTTAAATGTATTATTTTTTGGAACAGAGGCCTCACCTGGCTGTGCTCAGGTCTTAGTGCTGACTCTGCACTCAGGGATGACTCCTGACAAGGCTCAGGGGGACCATATGTGGTGCTGGGGATCGGACCTGGGTCACTGATGTGCTTTACTGCCCACTGTCCTCTTGTGCCAGCCCCCCTAAACTCTTACTTATACATTTTTATATTGGCATAAAAATGGGTTAAAATGTCAAAAACAGGGCTGGAGCGATAGCACAGCGGTAGGGCGTTTGCCTTACAAGTGGCCAACTTGGCTGACCCGAGTTCGATTCCTCCGCCCCTCTCGGAGAGCCCGGCAAGCTACCGAGAGTATCTTGCCCGCACAGCAGAGCCTGGCAAACTACCCATGACGTATTCGATATGCCAAACACAGTAACAATTGTCACAATGGAGACGTTACTGGGCCCGCTCGAGCAAATTGATGAACAATGGGAGGACCGTGACCAAACCGTGAACAAACCTACTATTATTTCTTTTTTTCTTTTTTTCTTTTTGGGTCACACCCGGCGATGCACAGGGGTTACTCCTGGCTCTGCACTCAGGAGTTACTCTGGCGGTGCTTGGGGGACCGTCTGGGATGCTGGGAATCGAACCCAGGTCGGCTGCGTGCAAGGCAAACGCTCTACCTGCTGTGCTATCGCTCCAGTCCCTCTTTCTTCCCCTTCCACACATATGAGGGGTGGGGCCTCTCTCACTGTGGAGTGCCTGGTCGCAGCACCCACATGGGCGGGGGAGGGGGGTCACACACCTGCTATGGCTCCAGGGACCCCAAACAAGGAGCTACTGGTCTCACACACGGACCTGGGCTGCAGGGCCCGCGTCGCCCGCTCAACCTCACGGGCCTTGGGCTTGCAAGGCAGGCGATGCTGCTGCTGGACCATTCCTGGGTCCCAAAGTCATCCTTTTTTAAAAAAAAAAAGAAAAAGAAAGAAAAAATAAGAAGGAATACAGGTGCAGTTGCAAAAGCATTTAAATAAATTAATAAATACATAAACCCTCTCCCCTTCCCCCAGGAATAAACTTAACCAAGAAGGCAAAAACTTGCACACTAAAAACGAGTGTTGTTGAAAGAAAATTTAAAAGCCACAAATAGAAAGGCACCCTGTGTTCACAGATGAAAATTCAAATAGTGACAGTGCCAATACTCCCCCGAGAGCCTGCAGATTCAGAGCAGTGTCTATCAAAATCCCCGTTTAAAAAAAAAAAAAAACCAAAAAACAGAAATGGAAAAATCCACCCTACAACGTATCTGGAATCTTAAGGGACCTCAAAAAGGCAAAGCAAACTTGAAAAAGGAAAAACTGGAACTTTCATAATTCATCTGAGGTTAATATCCACAATCTGCAAAGGACTCTCCTACAACGCGGCAAGAAAACCTGTTTTTAAAATGCAACCTGTTTTCAAAACGGGCAAAGGAAGGGCTTGTCGAGACGCTTCTCCAACGATAGGCAAATGCCGACAAGCACGTTCGTATCAAGATGCTGGGCACCACTTAGATTGGCTTAGGAAATCTAAGCCAATCTAAGCCAGAGTGGGACCACGTCACCCCAAGCGTTGGGCACTGCTGGTGGGGGTGGATGAGGATGCAGCTACCACGGGATTGGCACTGGCCGTTCCTCCAAGACTGAAAACAGCGCCTCAAAGAGATCTCTGTTCCCGGGTTGCAGTGTTCCCCAAGAGGAAAGGCGGGGAAGCAACGGCAGGTCGACCACAGGTAGACGAATAAACAGGGTGAATGCACACTCTCTCCCTCGCCCTCTTCACCTCTCTCTCTCCTTCTCTCCCTCTTTTTCTCTCTCCCTCTCTCTCCATCTCTCTCCCTCTCTTTCCCTCTCTCTCCTTTCTCTCTCACTCTCTCCTCCCTCTCTGTCTCTGTCTTTGTCTCTGTCTGTCTCTGTCTCTGTCTCTCTGTCTCTCTCTCTCTCTCTCAGTATCCAGCCTTTAAAAAAGGAAGTCATGCCATGCAGTGAACGCCAACACTCTGTCAGTCCTTGAGGGCAAGTGGTGGATGCATCCATTTATAGGGGCGACATGGAAGAGTCAAATGAGAGATAGATGGGGGGACGTGTGTGTGTGTGTGTGTGTGTGTGTGTGTGTGTGTGTAAGAGAGAGAGTGTGTGTGTTGGGGGAGGAGGTTTGCTTAATGGGACAGTTTGGTGGTACAAGATGAAGAGTTTTGTAGATGATTGATGGGGAGGATTGGGAGGGTTATACTACAAGGTGGACTTACTTAATGCCCCAGAACTGTAAACACACATATAAACATAGTTAAGAAACTGAATTTTGGGGCCGGAGTGATAGTACACTGACAGGGTGTTTGCCTTGCATGCGATCCCCGGCACCCCAGATGGTCCCCAAGCACTACCAGGAGAAACTCCTGAGTTGCAGAGCCAGGAATAACCCTTGAGTATTGCTGAGAGTGACCAAAAAGCCAAAAAGGGGGGAAAAACCCTAAATTTTATATGATATATACTTAAAACCATTTCAAAATAACATTTTATTTATTTATTTATTTGGGTTTGGGTGAGCCATTTTAAACCATATCAAATTGTATAAAATGTGGGCCCTGACCTAGGAAAAGGGTCAGACAAGGTGCTCTTCAGTGCTGTGGTCACTGGCATGGTGCTCAGGGGTTAAAGACCGTGCAGGGACAGGGACATAAGGACAGATACACAGGAGACCAGGGCATGTGGCAGTGGACACTAAAAGGCCCAGCAACACAATGACTGAAACTAGGGGCCCAAAGGGTCTCCTGCCTCAGGAGGGGGCGGGGGTAGAGGGAGGGTGCAGACTCTGGCTGGGAAGAGGCTGAAGTATGTCCCCATGGGGGCCTCTTCCATCATGTGGGAGAGACCAGCATGAAAGCCAAGACCAGGGGTCAGAGAAGTAGTACAGCAGGTAGAGCTCTTGCCTTGCACACGGTTGACCCAGGTTCGATTCCCTGCACCCCATCTGGTCCTCCCAAATCCCACCAGGAGTGATCCCTGAGCACAGAGCAAGGAGTCAGGCCTGAGCAACGTTGGGTGTGGCCCCAAATCAAACACAGCCAGACTGAGACACGCAGCTCGGGTAGGGCAGGACCTGAGGGGCTGTGCAGGGCCACTGTGTGGCTTTGTGCCCCACCCACCCCCGGCCCAGGTTGAGGGGACAGGAACAGAGGGGACAGGACCAGAAGTGGGTCACCCAACCCAACCCTGATCACGAGCAGAGCTCTCCGAATTATTGGGCCTAAACCTCCTTCTTCAAAAAGACAATTGCTCTGAGCCCAGCACCCCCAAATCTACCTTCCTCTGTTTTCGTTTGGGGGTCACCCCCAATGATGCTCAGGGGTCATTCCTGGCTCTGCACTCAGGAATTACTCCTGGCGGTGCTTGGGGGACCATGTGGGATTCTGGGGACTGAACCCAAGTCGGCCACGTGCAAGGCAAACACTCTATCTGCCATACTATTGCTCTGACCAGCAGCCTGGGCCCTGACTGCCCTCACATATGTGTGAACCATCTCTGGACGGCTCGGTGGGAACTTCTCTTTTTTTTTTTTTTTTTTTTTTTTGCTTTTTGGGTCACATCTGTCAACGCACAGAGGTTACTGCTGGCTCTGTACTCAGGAATTACTCCTGGCGGTGCTTGGGGGATCATATGGGATGCCGGGGATCAAACTGGGGTTGGTAAATGCCCTACCTGCTGTGCTATCGCTCTGGCCCTCGGTGGGAATTTCTGAGCCAGTTAACGTGGCCCCTGAAGGCCCGAGGATGCTGTAGCAGGATGTGGGAAGGGTGAACACCTGCCCGCGTGGAACGGACTGACCACAGTCTCCGGGCACTCCCGCCCTCCCTCTCCCTCCCTCATCCCGTCCTTCTCTGAGAGCAAAGCCGAGCTCCCCCCCCCCCCCACGGGTGCAGGGTCACCCATGCCCCACCCCTGTCCCATCCCACTGGCACCTGCTCATGTCCTTCTTGAGCCCCCAAAGCCCATGCCAACCTGCTTGTCCCTTGCAGAGATCGGCGTGGGCACAGCTGGCTTCGGCGTCTTCTTCATCCTCCTCGGAATCCTCCTGTACTTTGACTCCGTGCTCTTGGCCTTCGGAAACGTGAGTCCCCAGCCGGCCTGCACCCCCTGCCGCACCCCATGAGGTCTCAGTATGGGTGGGGTCCAGTTCATTTATACTGTACTAGCCAGGGGGCGGGCACTGGCTAAGCCAGGCAAGGCGAGGAGGCCGGGGGCCTGGAGAACCTGGGCTCTGATGACAGGTTCAGGGACTCCCCAGGCTTGCCTGCCCCAGGCCTCTCCCTGGCTGATGGGGCCTGAATGTACTTGGAGACAGAGGAAAGTAATTTAGAAAGGAAACGTGGGAGGGATAGAGAAGCATCTGCCCGTGAGCAGAACATCCGGAGAAAGAGGTGGGCCTGAGAGATAACGCAGCAGGGAGGACGTTGACCTTGTACGCAGCCAACTGATCCCCCCAAATCCCACCAGGAGTGATCCCTGAGCACAGAGCAAGGAGTCAGACCTGAGCAACATTGGGTGTGGCCCCAAATCAAACACAGCCAGACTGAGACATGGGTTCGGCTCCCGGCATCCCATGTGGCCCTCTGAGCCCCACCAGGAGTGATCCCTGAGCACAGAGTTAGGAGTAAGATGTGCACATCACCGGTGTGACCCCTCCCCCCCCAACAAACAAACAAACAAACAAGTCAAAGGTTATAGAGAAGGGGAGGTAGAGCACGGAATGTGCTGGAAGAAGCCGTGCGCCTGAGCGCTCAGAAGGGACTGAGCAGCCACACGGATGGGCCTGGTGCCACTCCACAAGCAGGCCCAGGAGCCCAAGCCACGGGCCTCGCCTCTGTGACAGGGAGCACCAGGAAGGCGGGTGAGGAATAACATCAAATGTGACTTTGACACCTCTGAGCCTTCCGAGTTCTCTGTGTCCATCCCTTGGTTATGTGGCGGGGTCGCCCTCTCTGAGAGTGACCCTCTATCCAGCCTAGCCCTCACGCCTTGCCAGTGACCCACCCCGGGTAGACAGGCCTGAAGCAGGACTACCATGGGGACGACATAAAGAGCCAGAAATAAGAGAGAGAAAGCGTAGGGGCCGGGGGCTTATGGCTCGCAGGCTGAGAGCCCGGCTCTCCTCCACCTCCAGTATTTATTGCTTAAATCAGTAACCAGCAGAAGGAGATGAACAATATTCTTTGGGCAAGTGACTGTCACTGCCCTCCCGTTGTTCATCAATTTGCTGGAGTAGGCCCAGTAATGTCTCCATTTTGAGACTTGCTATTACTGTGTTTGGCATATTGAATACATCACGGGGAGCTTGCTAGGCTTTGCTGTGCGGGCGCAATACTCTCGGTGGCTTGCTGGGCTCTCCGAGAGGGGTGGAGGAATCGAACTTGGGTCAGCCATGTTGGCCGCATGCAAGGCAAATGCCCTACCCGCTGTGCTATCGTTTCAGCCCAGCAAGTGACTATCTGAATCTATCCAGGCTAGACTTTTACATGTTGAGGGTCTTAGTTTATCAGGACAAACATCTGTGTAATGGGCTTTCTCAAGGGTTGATGCTCCCGGGAGAGGCAGCAGAGATGGAGCAGTACGACTTTGCTTCATCTGGGTCGAAAGTTCCCGTCAATTCCCCATCCTGTCCTTCTCCTTGGTCTATCCAGTCCCCAACGACGGCCTCTTGCCTCCCTCTCCGCAGCTGCTGTTCCTGGCCGGCCTCTCCCTCATCATCGGCCTGAGGAAAACCTGCTCTTTCTTCTTCCAGAGGCACAAGCTCAAGGCCACCAGCTTCTTCCTGGGGGGCGTGGCCATTGTGCTGCTGCGCTGGCCCCTCCTGGGCATGGCCCTGGAAGCCTACGGGTTCATCAACCTCTTCAAGTGAGTGTGGGCCTGCGCAGCCCTTCCGGCACGGGCTGCAGAGCTGGGAATGGAGCCTTGGGGGACACTGAGGAAAAAGGCCCATCTCCCGCCATACCCAGAGGGACCCCTGAGCCCCAGCCAACCCTGAGCACCCGCAGTGCACGCTGGCAGAAGGCCCACACCTGCCCTGAGTCCCGGGGTCCGCTGGGAGGCTGGCAGGTAATGGTCCGCTGGGAGGCCGGCAGGTAATGCAGTCAGGGTCACCAGGTCCCTGGGCACCCTGTGTGCTCACAGCCTTCCACTCCAACCAGTTCTGTGGATTTGTTTTGGCACCACCCCTGGCAGTGCTCAGAACTTACTTCTGACTCTGCACTCAGGCATCGCTCCTGGCGGGGCTTTAGGGACCATAGGGCATGCCAGGATGGAACCTGGGTTGGCCACACGCAAGACAAGCGTCCTCCCCCCTCTACTGTGGCTCCAGCCCCCGTGGTCTATCAGCCTGTGGCAGTGGATGGCAGCGTGGGGACCACCTCCCATCTCCCCCAGCCCTCCCTCAATCCCCCCGGAAGGAGGCGGCTTGACCAGGTCAGACTCCAACTCCCACCTCCACACCGCTGAGGGAGTCCCACACCCACCCTGACGATCTGGTCCAGGCTGTGTGTGGTACCACAGGGCTGCGGAGGTTCTGTGGCTGGGTTCAGAGGCAGGAGGAAGAATAAAGGGGAGGACAACCTGGAGCAGCCACACCGGGGCCCCCAGGCCAGGCCAGAGCTGGGTGCCCTGTCCACCGGATGTCACCCTGGCAACTCTGGACCAGGGCGAGCATTTCCCTGAAGTACAGGAATTACTGTACCGTTCCACCGCACAACTGGGGAGAGATTCCCAGGGAGATGAACTCAGAAGCACCAGTAAGTGGTAGTACCGGATTCTGAACACAAGGGGGCACATGACCACAGCGCCCCTATTCTTGTGTGTCCTAAGGGGGGTGGCTCACTTTTTTGGGGGGTGCACATTTTCCACCAACAACCCGTACACCCCCCTTCCCTCCCCCCCACACACATCCCAGTCCTCACCCTGCCTCTATGGCAATTTCCCCAATACTCTCTAATTTGGGGCATTATGTTTTGCCAGAAATTTCCCACCACCATTCAAGCCTATCTGCCAGAGGCAGACACTAGATAATTTATTTTGCATTACTCTTTTTTTTTTGCGGGGGGGGTCACACTGGGCGATGCTCAGGGGTTACTCCTGGCTCATGCACTCAGGAATTACTCCTGGTGGTGCTGGGGGGCCATATAGGATGCTGGGATTGGAACTGAACCTGGGTTGGCCACTGGCAAGGCAAACGCCCTACCTGCTGTGCTATTGTTCCAGCCCCCATTGCTCATTTTGAATATCCTGAGAGCTTGCACAGCTGCGATTGAAAATGTAAATTTCTAGATTGTAAATGGTTGGGTTCCAAGTTGGGTCTCTGCAGGGCACTAATCCATTTGGGGATTCAAATTGTGAATCTCTGGGCTAGGGCTGTTGGTGTGCCAAGATCTAAGATGGGGGGGGGTCATTCTTAACCACTCCACTCGGCCACTCTCAGAAAACAGAGGTGCAGATGCAAGCCTGCCCCTAGGTCAGGTCCTGCTTGTAGGAGCCGCTCTGCACCTCCACTGAGCCCACTTCCTGATGTGCTCCTAGGGGTTTTTTCCCTGTGGCCTTCGGCTTCCTGGGCAATGCTGTCAACATCCCCTTCCTGAGCGCGGTGAGTGACCCGCACACGCATGTGCCTGGGTGGGGGGAGGAGAGCTGCTCCCGGGCTGGAGGGGACCCTATTGCCTCCCCCACTGAACAGGAGCAGAGAGGCGGGCACCTGGATGTGTGGGCTATGCTACGGGGTGGACAAAGGGGGCGGCTAGTGTCACCCCTTGGTGGGACCTGAGACTCGGGGTCCCCAGCTGGAAAGAGCCAGAGACTTTCAGGCGCAGTTGCGTGGGCGTTGGATGCCAGGAGGCGGAGGCAGGAAAGCAGGGACATAGTCTCCTGTTGGGGCCTCGTTTCTCTGAGGCACCCGAGCTGGCGGCTCTGCTGGTCCTGCACCTGCAACCCCTCCTCAGATCCTGACAGCCGGGCCCCCTCACAGGCGATCCAGTACACTGGGTCCCCTCACAACTCCTGCACCCCGCCTCCTCAGAGCCCCCCCACAGAATTTCCTCAGAGACCCCTTACAGACCTCCCACACAGCCTCCTCACAGCCCCCACATACCTCCCTCACAGCCCCCACACAGCCTCCTCACAGCCCCCCCACAGTCTCCTCACACACTCATGGCTCCCTCACAACACCCTCACAGCCCCTTCAACCTCCTCACAGCCCCTCCACAGCCCTTCACAGCCCCCACTCATGGCTTTCTCACAGCCCCCTCAAAGCCCCCCCACCGTCTCCTCACAGCCCCCTCAACCCCCTCACAACTCCCAAACATCCTCCTCATGGCCCCCACTCATGGCTCCCTCACAGCACCCTCACAGCACCCACACAGTCTCCTCACAGCCCCCTCAACCCCCTCACAGCCCCCACACATCCTCCTCACGGCCCCCTCACAGCCCCCTCATGGCCCCCTCACAACCCCCACACCAGGCCCTCACCCCACTCTCAAGGCCGCCAGAGGCTGCCTTGGTCCTTTGTCTGCCCTAACGACTCTCCTCTCGCAGCTGTTCCGGAGGCTGCAGGGCGGCAGCAGCTCCATGGTCTGAAGAGCAGAGACGAAGCAGCTTCTCGAACTGGGGTCCCGGCTGAGGGGGCCAGGGAGACGGGTGCCCCTGCACTGCCTCATCCCCGTCCTGCGAGCCCCCTCCAGAAGGAAGGACAGAGCTGAGGGCCCGAGCGAGCGTGGCTGACCGCCTCCCCCCCCCCCAGGCTGCCAGGACAGTGGGGAGTAGCAGCAGGGGCCCGGGGGTCAGGCCAGCCTGATGTCACCCCCGTGGGGATGGGCTTTGACCACCATTGACCAGCGGTCCAGGAGATCAAGATTAAAACCTGAAGCTCCAGTCACCGTCTCCAGCTGTCATGTGTGCTCCCCCACCTGTCGCTGTCACACAGTCTTCACAACAACGGCTGTCCCACGCGGCTCTGTCTCTGTCGGCTCTGTCTCTGTCCGGGGCTAATGTGTGAGGAAATGGGGGCAGTGTCTGAGCAGTGTCTCAGCCGCCTCACCCCATAGCTGTGACAGATCACATCTGGGCCCCCTTGCTCCCGGGTCTGTGACCAAACATCTCTGAGCCTCCTCACTTCCCATGGCTGCAGTGGACACGTCCAGGCCCCTCACTCCCCTTGGCTATGGCCAGACATGTCCGGGCTCCACACTCCTTGTGGTCATGACTGGACACACCTGGTCCCTCACTCCCTGTGGTCATAATGGACACATCCAGATCTCCTCACTCCCCGTGGCCGTGATGGAAACGTCCAGGCCCTTTCACTCCCTGTGGCCATGATGGACATGTCTGGGCCCTTTCAGTCCCCGTGGCCGTGATGGACACGTCCAGGTCTCCTCATTCCCCATGGCCGTGATGGACATGTCCAGGCCCTCTCATCCCCTGTGGCTGTAAGGGACATGTCCAGGCCCTCTCATCCCCTGTGGCTGTAAGGGACATGTCCAGGCCTCCTCACTCCCCATGACCATGATGGACGTGTCCAGTCCCCTCACTCTCCATGGCTATGGCCACACATGTCCAAGCTCCACACTCCTTGTGGTCATTACTGGACATACCTGGTCCCTCACTCCTCACTCCCCATGGCCATGATGGACACAACTGGGTCTCCTCACTCCCCGTGGCCTTGATGGACACGTCTGGCCTTCTCACTCCCCGTGGCCGAGGCGGGATGCACCTGCATCCTGCTGGTTCTGCTTCTCAGCCTCCAGGTCCACCTGCGAAGGGACAGCTGGCCTGACCTCCGGGGCAGCCTTGCTGTCCTGGGGGAGGGGGACCCTGAGAGACCCTTCCCTCCTCCTGCAGGGTCTGGAACTTTCACACTGGCTGCCCCCCACCCCAGCTCTGCTGCAAACAGTCCCCTGCCTCCTGACCAGGGGACCCCCCTTCCTCCACTGCCTCCTGTTCCCTTCCCCTCTCTCTCCTGCACTCCGCATTTCCCTTCTCCTCCCTCCCCCTCTCAACGCTGGGGAAGGCCTGGAGGCTGGCGGGGCCGGCAGAGGAGGGAGGCGGGAGGAGTTGGTGGTCGGGAGCTCTGTTAGGTTCTCGCAGAAAAGGGTTGTGGGGGGGGACTGGGGACTGGTCTCCATCTGAGACGTCACGGGGGCTACAGGAGAGGGACCTGAGCTGGGATCTGGCAGCCAGCCCGCAGACAGACCTCCCGCCCCGCCAGAGCCCAGCACGGCACACTCCGAAAGGCAAGGACCCAGGACAGAGCCGAGGTAGGTGTATCGGTGTATCGCGCCAGAGCGTGAGCAGGAACTGAGACCCAGGCTGCGGGAGGTCGGGGGACACAGGGTGAAGGGTGCTGGTTTCTCCTGATTTCCAGGTAGACCAAAGCCTTTGGGGGTGCAGGCGAAAGATCTTTACTTGCATTTTATTTTTAAATTGTTTTCAGTCTGGGTGCACAGGGCTGGAGCGATAGCACAGCGGTCGGGCGTTTGCCTTGCGCACAGCCAGCCGAGCGGGGTTCGATTCCTCTGCCCCTCTCGGAGAGCCTGGCAAGCTACCCGTGATGTATTCGATATGCCAAACACGGTAATGACAAAGTCTCACGATACTGGGCCCGCTCGAGCAAATCGATGAACAACGGGAGGACAGTGTTTTGTTTGTTTGGGTGCACACCTGACCAGGTTGTGTGTGTGGGTGGGGGGGGTGGCTGTCCCTGGCTCATTGTTGGGTGTCACTCGTGGGCGTGCTGGGAACGGAACCCAGGCACCCCTCGCAAAGCCTGACCTTAGTCCTTTGTTTTAGTGGGAAGGGAGTGGGGGGGCGAGTCACACCCAGTGACACCGAGAGTTACCCCTGGCAGTGCTTGAGAGACCAAGGGAGATGCTGGGGATCAAACCCAGGTCGGGCACATGCAAGGAAAGGGCCGTACCTGCTAGACTATCGCTCGGGGCCCATGGCTCAGTCCTCTGAGCTCTCTGGATCCTTGACCCGAGTTTTAGCTCTGAAGCCAGGAACTTCCCAGGATCCTTCACATGGGGACTGGAATCAATGCAGTGAATGAAGCCTGTGACCAAGCCCGGGGCTGCAGGAGTATCAGGAGGCTGACGGGGGCTCGCCCCAGGAGGTTGCTGGGACCTGTCGCAATTCCCAGTTTAGGGGAGAGCCTAGGATTGAGTGACAACTGGGGTGTCTCCCGGAAGGAATCTCGTCACTCACTGAGTGAGGCGCCACCAAACATGCCTCAGTGGGCGCCCCTGCTCAGTCCGGCCCCACAAAAGGGGCCTTTTCTTTCCTGACAATTTAATTCTTCCACCTGTGCTGCAGGCCCCAACCCACAGCCAACTTAGAGTTGGGGGGGGCGGGGGTTAGTGTGTGTGCAAGAGTGTGTGTGCAAGAGTGTGTGTGTGGGGGGGGTGAGTGTGTATATATATGTGTGGGTGTGTGTGTGCATGTGTGTGTATAGGTGTGCGTGAGTATGTATACATGTGAGTGTGTGTCTTGATGTGTGAGTGTGTGTGTATGTGAGTGTATGTATAGATGTGTGGTGAGTGGTGTGTGTATCAGTCTGAGAATATTTGTATGTGGGGTGTGTGTGTGTGGTGTGTATGTGTGAAGTCTGAGTGTGTGTCTGTGCTGTGAGAATATATATGCTAGATGTGTGTGTGTTTGTGTGTGAATATATGATTGTGGTTGTGTAGTGTGGGGGACCACACATGGAGCTGCCGGTGGGAGATGCAACCCCCACCAGGGAAAGTTCCATGGTGGCTCATAAAGTGAGGAGGGAGGGGCAGCCCGGAGAAAGGACTCCCCCCTCCCCCACCCTCCCTGCTCTACTCACCCCTACACCCTCCCCCAACTCTTCCCCTCTCCACTCATCTCCTCCCCTCCTGACCCATCCCTTCACTCTTCACCCACCCCTTCCTCCCTCCTCCCCCCCCCTCCTCCACCCCCTCACCCCTCCCCCAATCTCAGGACCTGTCCAGTTTGATGATGAGAGTCTGGGATGAGCCCCTGCGGGGTCCAGATCTCCTGAGGGGGTGGTCAAGCACCGGGGTGGGACATGCTCCCTGCCGCTGGTTTCTCGGGGAGTCATGAACTCAGACTGGAGCAAAAAATTGCTCTCTGCAGGAAATGAGTCAGTCCTAAATCTAATTCAGGCTTTTCAGGTCACTCTCCTTTCCCTCACAGAAAAAAAGAATTTCGGGAGACAAACAAAAATCAAACAAACACTGTCCTCCTGTTGTTGTTCATCGATTTGCTCAAGCGGGCCTAGTAACATCTCCATTTTGAGACTTCTTGTTACTGTGTTTGGCACGTTGAATACATCACGGAGAGCTTGCCAGGCTTTGCCGTGCGGGCGAGATACTCTCGGTAGCTTGCCAGGCTCTCCGAGAGGGGCGAAGGAATCGAACCCGGCTCAGCCGGGCTGACTGCATGCAAGACAAACGTCCTACTGGGGGACAAACAGAGAAGTAAAACAAGTTTATTGGGAAAATAAGGGGAGGGAAGGAGAGAGGCCAGTTAAGTTATGTGCTCAAGAGAACACGGGTTTCTCCAGGCAGAAAGAGCAAACTTCACATCCCAAGCAGAGCTGTTGAGCCATTTCCCCCAGAACAGGGAAACACGGGCCACGGCTCAGGCAATGCAAGTCAAAGAGGCAAGGTGAGGCCAGACGGCCGACAGCGCAGGAGAGATGGGGCTAGGGCGCTTCTTTCCTGCCAACTTAGTTCAGTGCCATTTCCACAACTGCACAGCCCCAGTGCGTTGCTAGGGTGGTTGCCAAGGACAGCGGGCAGCAGTTGATGGTCTTTTGATCCTCTTGGGCGGCCTTTGTTCCAGGGCTGAACCTCTCCTGCAGGGGCCCAGCCCCCTCTCCTCACAAGAGGCCTCCATGCCCCTGGCCTGGAATGTCACATCAGCATCGCCTGGCTGGCTCGGACAAGGACCTTTTGTGTCTAAAGCCTTTAAGCTTTGGGACTGGTTTTGGGTCCCAGAAGATAATTTCAGTCCTCAACACCTGTTACCAAGCCCCGCCATCTTCCAGCCCTAAACATTAGTAAGTGCTGTCCGTGGTGGGGAGGCAGCAATACTTTGAGGGGAGCACTGTAGAAGGAGCTTGGCCAGGTACTACATAACATGGGTCTCCCCCTTCCTCATTTACCTTCCTGCTTTATCAGAGCAGCCAAAAGGCCCATCCTGAATTCGACACCTACATGCATATGCACACACACACAGACACACATGCACACACAGAGGCACGCACATGCACAAGCACACACATGCACACACATGCATACACACAGGTGCACATGCACACAAGTGCGTACACGCAGGTACACACAGGCACGTGCATGTGTAGACGCAGGTGTACACACATGCACACACGTGCATGCACACACACACACACATGCCCACACAAGCAGGTATATACGCGCGCGGGTGCACACACTGAGCCAGGGAGGATGAAGGACCCACTGACCAGTCACATCCCTCTTCTCTCTATGGAGGTTCGCCCTACTGCTAGGCTGGAGAGCCAGCAGCTTCCTCCACGCCCTGCCTGGCTTCTAGCTCCGGCCCGCCTGCCGGAAACCTTTTCTGAACTCTTGTCCCAGCCCCGAAACCCAGTTCAGACGCGACCCCTGCAGAAAACTGGCTGCGATCTTTTGCACCAGATCCCAGGGTCTCTTGCTCCAGTCCCGCATTCACAGCACTGCTTTGAGATAACTTAAGACTCAACCTTTTGGGTCTAGAGGATGTGTACAACAGGTAGGGCACTTACCTTGTATAAATCAAACCCTGACTTGATTCTCAGCATCCCATATGGTCCCCCGCGAGCACCACCAGGAGTGATCCCTGAGCA